TCAAAGTTAATTATAACATCATAACACTCATGTGACCCTCRGAGAAAATAAGTTTGACACCCCTGCTGTATGACCAAATATAAATTTCCCACAAACTGCGGGTCACATAGACCATCTGTCAATAATTTATAATATGCTGAAAGCCACAAGGCCAATTATTTAAAAAACAAACAAACAAAAAAAAAAAACATTGACTTTTACAGTGCACGAAACACACAGCAATAAAAAGACAGACAAAGAAGTAAACACAGAGAGGCGTTCTGTCAGGACTCAGCAACGTAAATCCCAGTTGGTAACTTGACAGGGCATGTGGTGTTAATCTGAGGTGTTTGCATTGTGTGTGGGTGTAGAGGGGTCACACAGGTCAGGCAGAGTCCTGAATAATTACTTTAATGTCTTTAATGATATTCTTCAACACTGCCCCCCACCTTCTTTTTTTCCTTGTGGCTAGACATATTAAAGGACTTCTTTGTGAAAACGGCAAGCTCTAATCGAATGAAGAAGGCACCTGTTTTACCTGGCTTCAGGCAGCGTGATCACACAACACACACCAGCATGCAACCCTGTAAAAGAGCTTGGTAAAGAGCTGACACTTGACTCAGTGGGGGAGGACACTGATGGTGAGGAAAGAGGTCATGGTGATTTARCTGAGAGAAAGTAGGGAGGAAAATTAATAAACAATATAAAGAGTTGTAATTCTGAAAGGCAGTGCTGACTCGTTTACCAAGCACAAACTTTTACTTGTGTATAAAAGTTAGCACCAGTATTTTGAATTTCATCTGACATTTAGCAATTAAGCAAGCTCTCTAATGTCATCTTCTCCTATTAAACCATGCTCCCCTTTAAATTTTAGCTAGAGTGTTCTGACACATCTCAAAAGTACTTATTTTTGAAGCTGTTATAAGCAAAGCTGAGTTTCAGCAAATGTTCTGTGACAGGTCACCAAGAGATGAGGCAAACTAAATTAGGCTTATCATATTCACATTCATGCCTTTAGGTAACTGTGGGATGTTTTATTATTATTATTTTTTAAGTTTTTGAGCACTTCTTGGTGAGTTTTTGAGCAGCCCACACAAAACAAMAGTTATTTTTTTCCACAAGTAAATAACAGCTAATTTGTTAACAAGTTGCAATGTTTTTTTTAATAAGTTTAGTCATTTAATTAGTATATTCTCATTAAAAATATTAGGTCATTAAAGAGAAAACTGACATATTGAAAGAGCCATCTGTCTAAAAACATGAGCAACTTATTTGTTCTTTCATTTTTCTAAGGAAGTAAATTTAGAGTTTGATTACAATTTATTACAAGTATTTAAGACATGATAAATGCAGTAAAATACTCAAAAAAGTAGATGGAATAATTTCCTGTCAAGCATAACAGTCAACAGGTCATTACCTTGAAAACACATTTTTAACTAAGTTAACAGTAACATGTACATCAGACACATTACAGTAAAGGCTGGTTCACCCCAAAGATCCGGTGCCCCGGCACAAACAGAGCAATGTTGTATATGCTGTTAAGTGC